GATTACGAGTAGCGGCAAAGACGAGAAATCGTGCCTTCGTAGTACAGGCTGCAACAACAGAAGCAGCAGCAGGGGAAGCAGCAGCAGCAGGAGGAGGAGCAGGAGCAGGAGCAGGAGCAGCAGCAGCGGCAGTAGCAGTAGCAGTAGCAGTAGCAGTAGCAGTAGCAGTAGCAGTAGCAACATCAACAGCAGCAGAAGCAAGAGTAGCAGGAGTAGGTAGTGATAGCAGTGATGGTTAGCAATCATTGATTAGTAGGTCGTAAGAGGTAGGTGGTAAGTAGTATTACATACTAAGCCTGCCGTAAAGCGTCAGTCGTGAGTCATACGTGGTACGTGAGTGGTAAGTAGTGAGCCGCAAGTCCGAGGTCGTAGGTTGTCGGTCGTAGATCGTGGTCGCAAATAGTAAGAAGTAAGGAGTCGTCGTCGGAGTCGGAGTCATAACAGCAACCGCATTTGCAGTAGGCTTCTCCTTGAAACGCAGAGCGGAAAATAGCAATTAAAGCCAGAAGGGATAGCAAGAACGGCTGTGAGCCTGTAAAACGTGCAGTGGCAGTCGCCGCCGCAGCAGTAGTCGTCGCAACAGCCGCGATCATAGAAGGCCTCCGAAGCAGAGCTGCCTTTCCTGAAGGGTACCGAGGCGGCCTCCGGCTGATGCAGAGCTAGGGCCGCTAGGGTTTTTTAGTGGATCTTGGGCATTTCCTTGGGCGTTTGGTAACTCAGGACCGGGAGGCTGAGTAAGCTTTGGCGGATCATTTTGTGGCCTACACGCGAATCAGGGCATCCCAATTAACTTTGTTCGAGCTTGGGCGGCTGGTACATGGATAAATCTCACAACCGTCACATCGGAGATTTTCTGGGCCGCTCCAACTTTTTCCATAACCGCCTGGCCACCACGTTTCTGCGGTTTCGCCTTTGCTTCTCCCTGTTGCTTGTTTTCGGCGGCGGTTCGGGTTTGTTTCAGCGGCTTTTCGCTGATCGCAGAAGTCCCATGACACGGTCCCGGGTCCATCGGGAAATCATGGCCAGGATGCGGCAGTGGGAAGCTGAGTAGACTCAATGCATACTATACCTGCATCCGACAACGTGATTCACAAGGACACTCACAACTTCAGATTGTCACATCACACTGTGGCGTGTTCGCTAATTAACTTGGTGCCGGAAGCACTTCCACCACAACCGAACCAGCAAGAGGCCGCAGTCAGTGCATGTATGGTCAAGCACTGTGACGCTCTTCGAATTGGCTGCTGCCTACCCGAGCGTCCCTGCCAGCGCAACGAAAGAAGCGAAGCCGAGCTCAAGCACTGACCAAGACATAGCCCCCCGGAATGGTGCCCGCCTGAAGTTTTTTGAGGGCAGCAGGGTGCATCCGCCTTGTGGCTCCAAGCCCCGCTTCTGCGAGGCGCTTTCGTCTGCCGAAACCCAGAAGGCCGTGGCAGACTGCGAGGCTGGTGGCAGATTACGATTTGGGGGTTTAATGTTTCAGGGTTGAGGGTTTTCGGGTTGTCGGGTTGTGGGTTTGGGGCAGGCTTAGGTTTCAAGGTTAAGGGTTGAAGGGTTTTTTTGGGTTGTTGCTCCAGGGTTTAGGGTGTTTCAGTTTGTCGGGTTCTTTCTTTTTGGTTGCCTTTTTGTGAAACTGAAGCCTCGGAACCTTTCAGACCCTGTGCCCACAAAAAACCTGAACCCGTAAAGTGAAATCCGACCGCCCGAGGCCGCGGCGGCAGTGGCGCAGAAGGCGATAACCGATGCCAGGGGCTCGTCCTTTCCAGAATTGTGTTGCTTGCTTTTGCCTTTTTCACCTTGCTTTTTTGTTCTTCTTTCTGGGAGGGTGTTCGAGCTCGCCTGACCTTGAAAACTCCAAACTTCGAATCGGTTGGAAGTCTTCTAAAGCACAGAGCCAGACGAACACTGCATCCGGCAATGATCAACTAACGACTCAGCTGCCCCACCTGGGCCCGATTAAGGTTTAAGTTTCCCCGGAACCCGTACACCCAGACGTACACCCTGAACACTCGATGCTGTACCCCACGACCGAAAACCTCGAGCCTTCAATGCGTCCCACAAGCCCTGAACCCTAAACCGAAAGACGACACCCATCCCACCTAAAAGTAAAAGCTAACTAGACACAACCCGTAAGTCTAAACCTTAAGGAGAAAGCCTTAAACGACACACCCAAGCTTCGGAAGCACACAAGAACAAACGAAGCCAACTGCACCGAGGCCCGAGCTGTGACGCTGCAGAATCTTGCGGCCGCAAAGGAGTTCGCTAACGGCGCCGACGAGTTCTGCACAAAGGCCTCGGAATGCCTTTGGGAAGCTTACTGGGAAGTGGCCTGAGGGCTGTATGATTTTATGGCTTTTCGAGTTCAGGGTTTAGGACGTGGGGTGGGGCCTTTAGGGTTCAGAGCGTTGGGTTCAGTGGTTTCGGCTTTTTAGGGCTTATTGGATTTCGAGTGTGGGTTTGGAGCTTCGGGTTCAGGGATTCCGGCTTGCAGTGTGGGATTTAACGCAGGTCGGGTGCGGTACTGATGGTTGGACTCATGAATCGATTTCTGGTCCGCAAGAAGGTTGGCACTCCTGAGTTGGCCTCAACACATCTGAGGCCACCTGAGCCTGCAACTCTGCAAACAAGTGAGCCCGAATTCCGCCGTAATCTTCATCCAGTAGCCCTCAAAGTCTACCCTCAGCCCGGAAGTCATGCACCCCGAGCACCAAACTCCAAAGCCTCAAACCCTGAGCCCTCGACAAACCTGAAACCCAAAAGCCTCCGCAACCCTAGCACCCCCACTCTCCACCTTTTGAGGACCTGCTCCAGCTCCAGAAGCGCTTAGACGGCATGGCCGGGAAGCTCTCCGAACTGAAGAAGGCACCCTCCGGGGGACTTTTTGTTCCTTCTCTGAACCCGGGCCCTCTTCGGGGATGTTGTTCGGAGGCTGGGGGGGGAGGGGCCAGACTATGCTGAGCAGATGGCTTTCAGAATGCTTCTAACGAAGCTTTTCGCGACAAAGCGGGTTAGACTATTGCGAAATTGCATTGCTACTTTTGTTCTCGTCGTGCTTCTGCAGATTGAAAGGGCTGCCTGTGAATTGAAGAAGCCAGGCTGCAAAACCGTGAACATGGCAGCTGTTCAGTATCGCACCTCGAACTCTAAATCTTCACGTCCTGAATAGCAGGCCCCGTAGGGCGTGGACTAACAACTTGGAGTCCCAGCGTCCCAAACTCTAATCCGTGCATCCTACCGCCGAAAAGCCCGAAACCTCGGGATGTTAAATCTTCAAGGCCCTGAAAGCTTCAGTTTTCCTCAAGCCTCAGGGCCTCAAGGCCCCCCCAAGTCTCTCAACATGGTCAGTCCCTCGCCCCGCTGCGAACTCGTGGGAAGGAGACTGCCGACAGAAAACGCAAGGCAGGTGCCATCGGTCCTCGGATGTTCTAACATGGTTTTGTTCAGGTTTTTTTGCTTGGATCGAGGGTTTAGGCCCTGCGGTTCAAGATATCACCGAAGCCTAAGCCCCAGAGCACGCTCTTGGCGGTGCCGAGCCGCCGGGTAGTCCCAGTCCCTTCCAAATCCACTCGAAACTCCGAGGCATCCTGAATCCTAGGACTCTGGTCCCGCATTGGACATCTGAAGCCCTGAAGCACAGCGTCACCCACCCAACCCCGACACCCGAAATGCACACGCACACCACCCGGAGCCTCAGAGCCGCTTTCGTTCAAAGCAGCTTGCACCCGCAACAAAAAGTCCCGAAGCATCCCTAGCAGGCCAAGTGCCCTACTAGAGAAACCTGAAGGAAGGAAAGCAGAGCCCCCTAAAAGCCTTGCCCGTCTCGCCAACGAGGCGCAGCTGGGAGCCTCGACGGAGAAAGTCGCCGACGTCGAGGCCGGAGCCGGGCCCCGAGAGCTGGAGGCAGCGCCGGAGCAGCCGGGCAGGCGCCGTCCCCCCCCCCCCTTCTTTTTTTTGACGAGGCAGGTTTTGGAGGTTGAGGTGTGGTTTGGGATGTTTGGTACGGTGGTTGAGGTCGAGGGCGCGGGTTTTCTCAGCCTGAAGGTCTGAGCCTCAGAGGGTCTCACGAACTCTTCTCAAAATCGAGCCCTGAGGTTGCGAAGCTGGCTGCGACGATGCAGCGCTTCTCGGACGATAGCCTCACGCAGCTCAGTAGCCCAGAGGCAGGGAGTGAGAACGCAGGGTTGAGGTGTGGGCTTCGTCTTCGACTTCCCTAAACTCTTCACGCCCCGAATTAGACAGTGTGGTTAGGGTCGCTGCACGGGCTTCAGGATACACTCGCTTCAACGGAGCTTGCTACAAGCAAATGCAAGTTTTCACGAAAAGGCATGGTACAAATCACGTTGCTGTACTCATATGTTTCCTCTACAAGGACTGCGTGCCCTGTCCCCGAACCTTATGAAGCAGCACAAAGGCTCTGGCGGTGGTTGGGAGCTCCAAAAGACGGCCTCTTAGGTCTGTAGGGAAGGCTTGGCTTCACTGACGGGGCCAAGCCAGATCTCCCAGTCGCTGTACTCCCGTCGAGGGGTGCGGAGCGCCCTTGCAACCTTTGCACGCCTCTAAGCCAAAGGTGCCGAAAGACCGGAGCTCAAGAACTCCGTGCTGCCCTCACTCTTGGCTCCCCAAGCTCGAATGCAAAAAAAGAAACCCAGTCAGTGTGTGTGTGTGTGTGCGTGTGCGGCAAGGCACGAGCGGTTGTCGAGGAGATTAGCCAAGAGGAGAAGCGTGCCGAGGCCGACTGGCTTTGCCCAGACCCCAACCGTCAAACCTTCACAAAGCCTCCTGAGCATCGGAAACCTGTCTGGCACCAACGAACTCTAAGGCTCCCAGGACTCTGAGGTCCAAAACCTCAAGCTCTAAATCCAAAAACCTAGGCCTCAAAAACCCAGCTTCATTGTCAAGCTCCAAACCCCACAGCCTGCAGACATTGCTCACCGACTGCAAGAAGTTTCTGAACCAGCGTGTGACAGAAGCGAAAGCGCTTGCGGAGGCGGATCTGCTATGCTGAACTCCCTCTATGCCTTTTTGTTGTTCTCTCCCTCGCTCTCGCTCTCTCTCTCTCTCTCGCTCTCTCTCTCTCTCTCTCTCTCTCTCGCTCGCCCGCTCTTGTAAACGTGAACGCATGTCATGTCGTATAGTGTCACATAATGTAAGGAATAAAGATTGACTGAATGAATGGAGTGGAATGGACTGGCATGTAATGAATGACTGAATGAAGGTATGATTGTATGATTGTTTTGTCCTGTTTCGCACTGTCTTTGTGTTGTGTTGTCTTGTATTGTATTGTGATGTGGTTGCGATTGTAAAGTATTGCGGTGTGAGGTAGTGTATCGTACGGCACGGTGCCGTACTGTACTGTCGTGTACTGTATTGCAATTCTACGTATTGTGCTGTCTGGTGTACGTATGTATGAATGAATGAGTGAATGTAAGCATGTAAGTATGTACGTATGTATGTATGTATGTATGTATGTATGTATGTATGTATGTATGTATGTATGTATGTATATGTATGTGTATTTGTATTTGTATTTGTGTTTGTATTTGTATTTGTACGTGTATGTATGCATTTATAAACCGACACTATCACTAACTAACTATGCGTGGAATTATTATGCCATGCAGACATACATCTCTGTGTCCATCTGCGTGCACGGATAGATTCCAGACAATACGGGTGCTTGGGGTGCAAACGGGCCTTAATTAACTCGGAGTCAAAGCCAGGCCCTGAATCCTCAGCTGATAAAGGCCAGATCGAACACCGAAGCCGCGAAGCCAGAACCTCAAACCCTACTGCCATCGAGGCTCTCCTTGAATCTCAAACGGTAAACTCCACATTGACATGTTATCGTTGAGGGTTCAGGCTGTAGGCCTCCACACTCCATTCCTTCAAGGGGTTGAGACGGTCGTGTCCAAGTGACTCCAATTTGGAAACTCGTTGGCTCATTCAGGCGCAGCGCAAGCCGTTCCTGGACGACCTGTCCAAGATTCAGTGCCGACCCCGAAAGTGTGGGATTCAGGTGCTGAGGCTGTTACGTGCGGGAGTCCAGGGTTCGGGTTCAGCCACAGCTAACAGATGAACTGTGGCACAGGAGGACCTGGTCCGCAACACATCCCAGCCTTCCCCCCTTACAAACTCGGTGCCGCGAGATTGGCCCCTGAGACATGTCACAAGGGCGATTTGATCCTCAGCTGTACAGCATCCTTAATTCCTAGATCTTTCACCCTCGACCTTTGCCAACACGAATACAGGTCCCACGCTGCTTGCCCTTCTAAAGCACAAGTCTCTAGACCGCAAACCCGGGAGTCTAAACACTGAACTAAGTCCTCTGGCAGCCGTTTTCGGAGCTTTGTGCCTTTGAGACTTTTGTGCAACCCAGCCCGCAAATCCCAAACCATACTCCCACCCTTAATCGACAGTACCTCGCGAGATCGCTGGTTGAATCCGCAGGCACCTGGAGCTCGTAGAATGTACCCGGAAGCACAAACACCATTGCGGCTGGTGCCCCTGGATCAACCTTGAATTCTGAACTGAAGCCTTACACTTTCAATCATGCAACATGCTAGACCCAATTCTCTCAACTAATCCCAGGGCCCGCGTCACCGCTGCCCACGTGGAGCTGGCGAAGCCTGCCCGGCCAGTGTCAAATCCCGCAACCCCGGAGACAATCCAAAAACACTAAGCCAACTCTGGACCAATCTAGAACAGAAGATCGAGACTGCACTCTGGAGCCGAACGGTGGCGCCGAACCCCTTTTTGTTGTTGTTGCTATTGTGGCCATTATTATTTATCCTCGTGTTCTTATGCTGTTGCTGTTGCAGCTGCCGTTGCAGTATCAGTAGCAGTGGTGGTGGTAGTGGTAGTAGTAGTAGTAGTAGTAGTAGTAGTAGCAGGAGTAGTAGTAGTAGTAGTAGTAGCAGCAGCAGCAGCAGCAGCAGCAGCCTGCTGCAGCAGCAGCAGCCTGCTGCAGCAGCAGCCTCCTGCATGCTGCTGCTGCTGCTGCTGCTGCTGCTGTTGCTGTTGCTGTTGGTGTTTGGTCGAGGTTCAGGGTTGAAAGGTGTTAGTCTCGCTGCGGGTTCTGGATCTTTCGAGATCAGCCGTTCGAGGCGGTTCAATGACATGTACCGTCACCTGCTCGGAATTAGGGAGGCCTTGAAGCAGGTCTCAAAAACCAAGAACCACGGGCCCGGTGCCCAAAAGCTCAATCTCGTTTCTCAGTCTGCTCTTGAGCACGATTCAAAGCTTATCAAGGCCTACTGCCCTCAAAGATCCCTGCACAGTCCTAAGACTCGGCTCAAGCTTCAGGGCCTCGTGCGACTGTGGAGAATCCTGAACCCTCAACCACAGAGTCCTAGCAGTCCTTTAGCTCCAAACCTTGAAAGCCGTGACGGCCTTGGAACTCCTTGAAAAAAAGGGGTGTAGTTTCAGAATTGTTGGTTAGAGCTCTGGTTTGCCATCTGTTGAGAAGGTTTAGGAGGCATGATCAACCGAACTTTTCGGCGGGATTAAGAGACCGCATGGACAACCCCAAGAAGCCCCTACTCTGGCCCTGCTAGGATTTCTCGCGCATTGAGCGTTGTCAGTTTTGAAGGCATTTCCCCCCAAAATCATTGCCCGCAGCGTTTTGAAGGCGCCATTTCAAATCGTTTGCCCCCATATATCTGGAGGATCAAAGGGACGAGCCCGAATAGCTCCGCCAGGACTTTAAACTTTTCGAGCGTTTCGAAAACACAATTATTGAAGCCAACACGGCAACCGCTTCAACGAATTCGGCCCCTCCGTGACTTTAACCGAGAGTGTGCACCGCGCCACAAGACAACAGCATCGCACCAACCGAACACAAACCCCGAATTTAGTCTGGAGCCACTAAGACATTGTGATACCCTTAAAACCCCACCCCCCAAAAGCCAATTTCCAGCGAAGCTTCCGGGAGCTTTTGGGGCCCGGCCAGGCTCTCTCGGCAAATGACGGAGCGGGAGCAGCGCTTTTGGGCCGCGCTTTTGGGGTTTCGTTGCGGTTGCGTTGCAGGTTTCCGCGTGTGTCATAGTATATTTGGGGTTCCCGGTTGTAGGGACCTTGCTTTCTGAAGCTCTTAATAGGGGTGTAGCTTGATGGCTGAGGGGCTAGATCTCCATATCGTCCGCGATGCTTTAATGATTAATGACCACGAGGTTTGGGATTGGGATTCGGAGCCAATCAAGCACTCATATATTATGATTAGATGATCTTTACCCTAAATCCTGAAACCGAAAAGCCAAACTCGACACTGTGCCAGGAGAGGTTTCTTTTACCGCCCTTCTATGAATCCCCAAGTCTCCATCGAGCGGGCTTCACATTCTCAAGCGGAGCCAAGCCGCAAGTTGCAAGTTGCAAGGTTATGTGGCGCTGCAGTTGGTTAGTGCCACACCGACTCGCATTGAAATTTGCATGAGCTGCTCGGGTTTGGGGTGGAGGCTTGTCAGTCAATGAGTAAACCAGCATCTAGAAAGCAAGTACCTTATCATACATCTGTATGCTTACATACGCAGAAGCTCAGGCACACACATATGTATGTATGTCTGTATGCGTATACATTTGTATGTATATGTAAAGGTATATGTATACGTATCTGTATACGTATCTGTATATGTATATGTACATGCACATGTACATGTAGATGTATATGTAAACGATAGTTACACAAAGACAGCACACACACACACTCACTCACTCACTCACTCACTCACTCACTCACTCACTCACTCACTCACTCCCTCGCTCGCTCGCTCGCTCGCTCACTCTCTCTCTCTCACTCTCTCACTCTCTCTCTCTCTCTCTCTCTCTCTCTCACCAAATATGCATGAATGCCTGTGTTGATCCGCCAGCCCGGGAGCTTTCGGGCTTTCGGTTCCCCGGTGAGTCGCGGCGGCTTGCTTCTGGTCTGGGCTTTCCCTTGCGTTTTGGAGTTTGGCGCTTCAGGGCTTGAGGGCCGCAGGCTGCGGGGGTTTGGGGGTCGGGGGTAGTTCCGGATCCAGGCCAAACCCTTGAAAGCAGTGTGCTGTTTGAAATGCTGAGACCCACAAGCCTGACATCCTGAAACACTCTGACACAACTGCTCCACAACGGTTTTCTTCCTGTGGCAAGCGTTTTGCAAAGTCCGAAACGCCGAAGAATCTGTTCTCCGTGCCCAGCAAGCGGGCGAAGACTTGGAGAAGCTCCGGCTGGAGGGTGCAGCGGCTGCCAAGGCCCCTTGCTCCAACGCCCCGGTAAGAACTCACGGGGTTGTCCTTTGCATGGGTCGGGTGTACCGGAGAACTGGGGGGGGGCTCTTGTCTACACTGTGTCTCTGCCGCGCCAAGATCTGCGAGACGGTGCTGGACTTCGACGGCTGCGGTCTGAGATTTGAGTGGGTACCTTTCTTTTGGCAATTGTTTAAATTTCTGTGTTTTTCTGTGTGTGTGTTTTTTCTTCTGGTTTTGGTTTGGTTTTAGGGACGATGGAGAGAAAGGCGCGTCAGAAAGAAAGCAAGAAAGTAAGGACCACAGAAAGAAAGAAGGAAAGGTACGAACGAAAGAAAGACAGAGAGAGAGAGCGAGAGAGAGAGAGAGAGAGAGAGAGAGAGAGAAAGAGAGAGATATGAAGAAGAAGAAGCAGAAGAAGAAGAAGAAGAAGAGGAAGAGAGAGACAAAAAACGAACGAAACAAATAAATACAGAAATAAAGGAGGAACCACAGGACAAAAGAAAGAAAGAGAGAAAGAGGAAAGAACGAAAGAAGGAAAGAAAGACATACAGATGGAAATAAATGAACGAGTGAAAGAAGGCGAGAGTCCGAACTAAAGTACGAAAGACAGAAATAAAGAAACAACAACAGCAATAACGACAACGATAAAGAACTAAAGACAGCCATAAAATATATAGACAACTAAACAAAGAACGAGAGAAAGACACACGCAGAACGAGGAAAGAAAGAACGAAAGGACTGACGGGAAGAAAGACAGAGCGAGAGAGCGAGAGAGAGATAACGGACAGAAGGAATGACAGAAAAGACGGACAAACGGAAAGTACGACAGAAGGAAAGACAGAGGAAAGGAAAGAAACACAGAAAGAACGACAGAACGAACTACATAGAGAAAGAAGGGACGAAAGAAAAGAAGAACGACTGAACGATAGCTGCCGAAGCACTAAAGAAGGAAACAAAGAACGGGAGAAAGACAGAGAGAGAGGGACAAGGAACGAGTCAAAAAACGGTCGGGGGCGCGACAGCGCGCGGGCTAGGGGGGCGTCCCTCTAGCCCATAGCCCTGGCGAAAGAAAGAAAGGAACGAGACAAACGACGAAAGACATCAAGAAAGAACGAGAGAAGGGCAGGAGGAGAAGCAAGGAGCAAACAAGTGGCAAAGGTTAGCAGGCATGAAGAAGAGAAGAGAGAGAGCCTGTTAAATGTCATGCACGGCTTGCTCGCAAGAAGATCGCGCCATCAACAAGATATGCGTCAATCACGTCCTGAACCACTTTGTGCCCAGGCAGCCGCGCAAGCCTCCTGGGCTCGCTGCGCCTGGATGCTGTGTCAGAAGCCTTGCAGGTGGGGTCAAGAGCTGAAAGCACCGAGGGCCCGAGGGCTGAGGAGCACTTTGTTTTTTCTTGGGACCTGTTCACTGTTGTTCGTTGGCTTTTCGGAGTCTGGCGGTCTACAGGCTTGCAGGTTTGTGTGAGGAACCAGAGGCTTGTCTTGTTCTGGAACTCCTGCAAATGACTCTTCTGGAGTTCGGTATTGTAGGAAAGGAGGTGTTCACAGGCTTCCGATGTTGTGGACTGGGTTCAGGGTTTTGACAAACTGTAGGTTTTTTTTAGGCTTTGACTGTTGATTCCTCTCCGGCGTTTTGACGTTCCGTCTACAGGTCTTGAGGCTTAAGGGTGTCAGATTGAAGTCCGGCATCTGGGAGCACGTCATGGAGACAAGCATTGCATGTACGACGATCGAATACGCGCAACAAGTCCAAGAGTATGTCAGAAACCGTGAGCCCGAAAGCCACATCTGGCAGCTGCAGGGACACCTGAAATCGACGAACGCATCGCCCGAATCGCTCTGGGAAGACCTCTCCCAAGGCGGAACCAGTTGATAACTGGGCTGTTGGCTTTGGACGTAGCTAGATTTTGGAGAGTGGCTTGAGCACGCAGTTCAGGAAGGCGCTTTGCCAAGAGCCGGGTGATAGGGAAGGGCCACTCCCGGCGGCTGCAGCTCTTGACAAGGCCATGAGTTGATTGCCAGTCGATAACGAACAAAGCAGTTAATTAGTCCTGAGAGCGGGATCTCTATCATCATGGTCAGTAGGCTCTTAGAGGATTTTTCGGACCTGTCTCGGCGGTCAAAGGAGCCGTGCAAAGACAAGTGTCGCCGTGTGCTCCCGGTTCAGACTCTCTTGTTCCCCTCTGTTTGATCGTTTAGACCCGGCAACCCGAGCCCGCCACAGACGATCGCTTAACCGCCAAAACCTCTTGACACTCCAAACCTCGGCTCTTTCCCCGGCAGTCGCTTGACAGGCGGCCCAGTGTCCAAAGATCAGTTCGGCGAGTGGCTCTCCGGGCCGGCAGAGAGAGAGAGAGAGAGAGAGAGAGAGCGAGGAGAGGAGAGAGATGACTGAGACTATATTTAGTCACGATAGTCTCAGGTTTACTACGATACCTACTAGTGTGGTTGGTATTAACACTGGTATTTACTACTGCCACTACTATTACTACTAGCTGCTCATGCTATTACTGCTCGTGCTGCTGGTGTCGCTACTGCTGCTACGACTGCTGACACAGCTATACTACCATTGCTACCACAGCTACCTACCACTACTACCACCCCACTCACTCCGCCCACTCCACTCCCTCCACTCATCTCACAGCACTCCACTCACTCCATTCACTCCACTCACTCCACTCACTCCACTCACTCCACTCACTCCACTCACTCCACTCACTCCACTCACTCACTCTCTCACCCACACACTCACTCACTCACGGTCTTGCTTGGTCATGCCGGGCAGCTGCAGGAACACCCCTGGAGAATTTGTTCAAGCAGCTTGGGGCAGAATCTGCGGCCTCCTGAGATCACGAGGAAGGGTGAGCCAGGTGTTCATGTGAGGAACAGTGCGCCAGGTACGAGCGCTAGATGTTCAAGCAGTGCTGCTGGAGCCTTTTTCGAAGCCAAGATCAGCAGAGCCAGCAGAGCTGAAAGACTGGGGGTCGAGCGTGGCCATCGCTTTTGCAGAGACAAACGTCGCACAACAAGGTCGAGATATTCTCCCCAGCCTCTCAGTGATGCACAGTGGTCCAACTTGCAACTCTGTCTGCATTTCATCTTCAGCTGTGTTTTGCAGCTGTGCAGTGTGGTGTTCCGAGGGAGTCAGAGGTCCTTTCATTTTCGGGTTTTCTGCGCTGAAGAAATGATCTTACTTGTCTTGTTGTCAGGCTACCTCTCTTGGACAAGAAACCCGATGGCTCTGTGCCGCATTCCGAGAAGACTTGTACGGAGTTCTGCCATCTTGCTATGATCCTTGGTCGAGGATGTGGCCAAACATGCTGAAGTGGGCCGTTGTGGATTGCACGTTGTCTACTCAGCCTATGAGATTGTCTTAGACCGTACATTGCAACCGAACAAGTCGCGATGAGACAACAAGGTCAGCGCCTGTGCCACCAGTCCCGGTCTCAGACTCGTGCGCGAAAATCTCTGCTTGTTTAGCTCTTGACATCGATGGGCGATGACCTTCTCTCTTCTCTGCTGCATCAGTGAGGTCAAGCCTCTGTCACCTGCGCCACCTAGCCTTCCTGTGGCAGTTGCAAAGCCAACCGCACCGCTGCCTGCAGCCGCGACTGTGCCTACACCCGGTGCTCTGCCTCCCGTTCCGGCTGCAGCCTTACAGATATTGAAGCTTTTCGGTTTCTGTTTCGAGTGATTCGAAGCATAGGCGCGGCCAGCATCTTCGCCATCGCCACCTGCGCCTTCCCCACCAGGGGCGTGTAGACCTCTTGCCCCTGTTCCAGCACGAAACCTAGCTAACAACCACCACGGTCCGGGCAGGAAGCACTTCCACTGTTCCACGACATCACTGAGGCACAACCTGCTTCTTCACCCTCCCCGCCTGCACCACCTGGTCCACTAGCTCCCACTCCCGTGCCAGCAGGAAGCTTACAGCATGGAGATTCATGGAGCATTAAAGATGCGCAATGCTTTTAGGCACGGCCCCTGTCCTCTCCTGCTCCGCCCTCTCCATGTGCCGCCGCCAGCAGAGCATCCCCAGCAACATCCTGAGATGCTCATTTCCTGGGGGCACTCAGACTCGAAGAGCCAAGTCTTGCCTGTCTGGGAATGAGCAGAAGACATCTGGCGAGGTTCCACCTCTGCCACCTCCGCTCCGAGCTCAATCTGTTTCTGAGAAACTTAGTCTCGCAGCTGGTCCCTGCTGCAAGCCAGGTCTGCTTCCAGTGTTGGTGGTCCCGTCCCGAGATGTTTGGAGCCCATGTTTCGTCAAGCTTCGCACTGACTGAGCCCTGCCACCGCCTTTGCCACCTCCGGCTGCGGGGCCTTCACCCCCTGGACCGCCTCTGCTTGCAACTCAGAGCGCGTTCTCCTTGATCCAACCCGTACCAGCGTAAGATTGCTGCATGAAGCAGCCGCCAGGCCGCATCCACCTTCGGCTGATGTCTCAGCAAGTATGGCGCGGGACACTCTAAGACTGCACTGTGCTGACTGACGAAACAGGAAGGGTCGTGCCGAAACTAAGGCTTGGGTTGGAGGCCGGAGCTGTTCACAGGATATAATTGCGCTTTGTTGCACCTGAGTTTGTCTGCAGTTCTGGCACAGGCTACTAATCCTGGGACGAATGAGCTATCGCTCGCGGTCCCCTCTGCACGAAAAAGACGCAACTCGTGCGTGGGTCATCCGTGAGTAGACTGTTGGCGCGCTGCTCAGATTGTTCCGCCAAGAGAGGAAGCCTCTGCTTCCGGTTCCTTCACTCTCCGCTTCACCAGTCAATGGCAACCACGTGAGCACGCGCGCGCGCACGAGCGACCCGAAGCATCAAAAACCTTGCGGTTGCATCTGTGCAACGCGCGGTATAGTCACACACGGAGAAAGGATGAACAAAGGAAATCTCAAGTTACTTCTCGGTTTGGCCGTTTTGCACTTGTTTCCGGTTCCCAAGGTTTGTGAGCAGCACACACTTGGGCATTGGGCACTGACCAAATCACAGCGTGGTGTCAGTGCGGCCAAGGCTGCTTGGCTGTCTCTTGGAAGGAAAGCTGTCGTTCTTTCCGGGGACAGTAGACGGCAATCAGCTTGCCTGTGCTTGCTTTTTGGCTCCTTCCCGACATGCCTTTTGATGATAGCACGGGAAGTTGTCCAGCCACATCATGTTTCCATCCAGCAACAGCAGCAGAGACTTGCGGTGATGTAGCTGCAGAAGGCCAGTCCATGGTTCACCTTAGCAGACCAGTTCTGCCCTGCGGCCTGGCCCCTTCCAGCCACAGGGGGGTGCTGCTCTGGAGCCGATCGCTGCGAATCTTCTGGGACCACGTCCGATCGTAGCAAGCAGCGTCTGGCAGGTGTGGCGAAGCAACTCATGCACCGTACCGTTCGCACATCTGACTCTGGCAGGGTTTTCCCGCCAGACTTATTCCAATGCGACCAAAGTGGCCATCAACAGCTGGCTGGCCGAGCTGGTCCGAGGCCTCTGAATCACGATCTGCAGGTGATGCTCCACGGTTTTGTTTGAAGAGTCTCATTCGAAGCAGTGCATTCCAACAAACGCGGTCTCGACAGAGCAATGGGTTTTGCCAAGTCTTGCCAAGTTGCGTGAGCATTGTGAGCGAAACATCTTGACAAGAATTGTCAAGTACAATCAGTACAATCCTCCTTGCTATGATCGCAGAGATTCAAGGGAATCACAGTTCGAAGCACGGGTTGCTGGCCCGGAAGATGCCCAACGTAGTCGAGAAGAAGTATTAGATCGATTGACATCGGTTTGCATCTCTCTGCGATGCAGGCAGTCGAGCATCCAGCGCCGACTCCATCTGGAGCCTGCTGCTGGAGACCCATGAGCTCCAGACTCTGTCCGCCCTCCGTGCAGCCGGCGTACATGCAGCGAATGACATCTGGCTTGAAAGCAAAAGGAAAGGTTCAATGTCGTCACATAGGAGGCGACCACCGTGCATACCTGCCCTCTGTTATATTGGTCGAGAAGGGCAAACATGTATCCCTTTACTGTCCTTTACAGTTGGTCGCAGGTACGGCGTTCGATAATGGCAAAGCCTTCCTTAGCCGCTACCACTGGCGATCCGGCAACCTGAAGCGCACCCCGCACGAAAGTCTCGTGTTTTTGGATGTAGTTTGCACTCGTTCGCTTTGTCTCCTATCTCAGACACTATCGCTGCGACTATTCGCGTTCGGGGGCTGAGTTGGACAGTAAGAGGCCGAGGAATTCGTTTTGTGGGTGTTTTCTGTCGTAGGTTCCTCACAGCATTGTCATAGAGCACGATGTGTTTTCAGGGTCTGGGAGTCGGCGACAGCAGCCCCGCTCCCCGTTGACACTGAGCGATCGGAGTGCGAGCCTTGGAATAGCGCCTCGTGTGCGGATTCGGCTGAAGTCGGACTCAGGCAACGGAAAAAGAAGCAAGGAAGAGGGCCAGAGAGATACAAACGGATAGCGAGAAAGAAGAGAGACTCTCCCTCCCTGCCCTCTCTGTATGGTATGTAGACATGCCTAAAAGAACGAACGGCGCATGCAAAGACTGCTCACAGGTTCAACATGATGACACACAAGGACTGGTTGACTCTGCGTGGAAGCACAAAATTCGTGAGGGGGAGCGGGTCGAAGCACTAAGGATTCGACCATCGTGCCGAACCCCAGCTGCTCGGCCTGGCACGGTATTTTCGTTTTGACTCGCGCTGCGGAATTGGGGAGAGCTCGAGTTTTTTGCTCCTGTGCTGGAGGTGGTGAGGAGTCTGCAGCGATACGGCAAGCCGCCCCTGGAATTTGTGCTGTCCCTTGCACATCTCACGAGTTACTGGCAGATCTTCGGCTGCAAGCGTTGCACCTACTTGTAGAATCTATATGTCGCTATGCAAGTCGCAAAGTAGTCGCCAGCCCGGCCCCGAGGCCTGGCTGACTACAGGGAAGGATGTCGCCCCTGAGCTGAAGGCCTTCAGGTCTGAAGCCCCTGCCAGGGCTTGTCAGGTTTCAGGTGATGGGATGCACTCTTGCGATGCCAGGTCGCGATGTCCGGGCTTCGACTTTGTATGGCTCGACTACTGTGGCACGCTTGGGCTTGGGCCTCTGCCTGCCTCTGGACTCCTCGTATTCACATCCCTGCAACTGCAAGGTCATCCCCTGGTCGACGAAGGAGCTGCAGCCAATGTTTTGCACACTGGTTGGGCTTGAACATCTTGGCACTCGCTAGGCAGGCGGACCTGCGTTCGCTCTTCACCGGCTCGCTTCTTCGGCCGCGGTGTGTGCTGGCTGTGACGGTTTCGGAGCGTGGTGCGGCGAGACTCTACAGGCAGCTCTGTGCTTGAGATTGCTTGTCCGATCTCGGCCGGCTTAGCACGCCGGAAGGGGTGAGCTAGCGGACGGCCTGGTTCTCTGTGTGCGGGCTGCAGCGCGGGAGGTGCAGCAGCAGGCCGGCGGAGTTGGCTGCGACTCCGGGTTGACCATGACCAGGGGAAGCTTGCAAAATGCCTTCTGCAGGTGGCGCTCCTGGGGATTGCGGAGTACAAAGCCCCGACTCCCATGGTGCTTGCAGCCTTCGTCGTTGATGCGGAAGCTGCAGCACTTGCAGCCTGCAAGCCAGTTGCAGAAGGACTCAGGCTAGGTCCCAGCACGGACAGGCAAACCATGTCAGCAGGCACTGGGGCTGTCTGGTACGTGGAACATTCACAGACTCGAACCGTCCCAACGACTCGCCGTCTTGTGATGATCAGCCTTGATCCGCTTTGAACACCCGCAGTTTCGTGCCCGGCGATCACTGGTGCGTCGGTCGTGGTTTGGCTGCTGGCCTCGAGACGCCACTGGCAAGGGCTCTGAGGCGCAGGCAGTGTCCGCAGGTACGGCTCAAGCTTGTCAGAGTCGTGCAGGTTTGCCGCTGGGGCCTTTGCCACCGCAGCCGGGAGAGGTGCAAGCGCCCTTGCCCTCGAATCAGTCTGGCTCTCACTGAGCACCGCACTGCCCGGAATGGATCCATGCCAGCCCTGCGGCATCCAAGGTGAAGCTCTTGCCAGTCACACAAGCCCTGGAAGCCTGCGGGTGCACTGTGCTGTCGTCACTGCCGGACCAGCTGGAGGCCTGCTTGGCACTCCCCTGTGTGCGCCATGGGGCCGGGTGCGTGGCCGGGTGGCCGGTCCCGAGGCCGAGGTCGCAGCTGCCATCCACGGACGAGCGATCGGCGTTCTCTCGGGAGCTGCTCTGCTGGACATCCGTGCTATTCCGTTATTCCGTGCTCAGAACACGATCTTTTCCTTCGTGACACGTGCAGGACTACCTGCAGCAACTGGCCCGCAGGCCGCAGGAGATCTTTGCGGCAGCCTGGCTTGGAGCCTCGTCGGAGAACATGATGCGCTTGGGCTTCTAGCGGTCTAGCTAGAGCTACTATAGCCAGTAGCCAGTCGGCCTCGCCTCAACGAACACCTTCAGGCTACGATGGTGGGAGGGCTTGCACATCAACACAGCCGCGCAACTGCAGTGGTTCCTGCACCCCGCTGTTGTCTCGAAACATTCATGCCCAGAAGGCTTCACAGCTGCAGTGACTGGTCGCATCTCAATGAGCTGCTGGGCCTGCGGCTGCTTTCGACTGATGCACTGCTGGCAGCTTCCAAGCGTTGACTTCTAGTACCTTGGGCATATCCTGTCGTGGGAGATGTATCTTTTCTCAGGTTACTGTGGCCTATGTCTCAACAGCTGAAGTCTGGCTGGGCAGTGCTGTCGATTGGACCTTAGCTGGTCTGCGACATGACGCCTGTCGGCAAGCAGGACAAGCCTGAAGAGCTTCCAGTTCAGCCTTGTACTTGTACAGCAGCTTTTTTTTGAAGGCTTGTTCACGGCACGGATATCACGTCGCCGCTGCTTCCGTCATGAAGTTCACGGCGAACAACTCCCGCCTCGTGCACTGGCCTGCGCAGCTAGGACAGCTAGGACTCTGCATTCATTCTCCGCAAGCTTCAGCTGTGTGAGAGACGGGTGCTGCAGCCAAGGCTGTTTTTCTGCGTTTGGGGCAGGGGCCGAGAAAGTTGGAGGCCGAGATCAGAGGGAGACACGGTTCAGAGAACCGGTGCTTTGATCCTGGAAGTTACGCGAGCCGATCTGAAATGGTGTTGCAGGCAGGTGTGCTGCCACCAGCTTTGCTGAACCAACCTGGTTTCGAGGACCAGGGTTGGGAGAAATCCAGCTGGCGCATCTGTTGAGATTGGCTCCGTCTCTGTCTCTCCTGTCTATCTGTCTGTCTGTCTCCTGTCTTTCTTTTCCGAATGACAGGCATGCCAGCACTGCACAACTTATCAACCTGTGCGAAACGGGGGGGTGGCCATCAAAGAAGCTGACGGTAGGAGGCCGCCGGGGCTTCCATGGAATTCCACAGCTCCTTGGCTCCTCTTGGGATCCGACAAGTCCTACTTCGGGGATGTATTGACTTGGCATGTCTGAGGCAGCTGGGATGAGGCTCGGGTGAAGACCCCCTCAGCAGAAGGACGGCGGCTGCGGCAGCTCCTGCCGGCACTGCGCCAGCTTTTGGCAGGCGGCGGGCTCGGATTTCAAGTGGGTTCAGACCACATCATCGGTCCAGGCGGTGCCGCCGACGAAACCAGCGACGTCATACTGATCCATGAGCCCGGCTTTGTCACTTTGCTTCCAGAGCTTGCAGCTTTGGATGCTCGTCTCATTTGCCAAGGGCTCAGCATTCAGATACCGTCGCCCTCACTTGGCCTTCGTTTGTTTTTTTTTTTTTTTTTTTT